ATTTCACTTTACATTCCTTCACACATTCTAATTTTTTGTCAAATTGGCCTTTTTACTGTTACCCACATGTGGTGTTCCATGCCTTTATTCAGGTTTTCCCCCATGCCTGGAATGCTCCTCCTCCCTGCTCCTTATCTTCCTCCCTTCCACATCTTGGAATCTCTAGTTTCTTTCTAGGCTTAGTTCCTACATGAGGCCTCTCCTGATTCCTCCTAGTTGTTAGTATTCTTTGTATCCCTAGAACCTAACACAATGCCTTGCACATAGTAGGTGCTTAATAAGTGCTGTTGAATTGATTAAGGGAATTGTGAAGGGCCTCATAAATCTGTTTATCCTTAAAGGATGACAAGTGAAGAGAAGAGGGTTAGGTCCAGCCACTTAGGGAAATGAGGTAGGGAAGTCACATAGTACATTTGGAGGACAGTGAGTAGAACAAATGGGATTGAGCTTTGCACTAGGAGAGCTAAAGTTGGAGAGGCAGACCGGGGTTAAATTATGGAGAAGCTCCATTGTCAGGCTAATGTGATGAGATTTTTTTGAGACTAGCCAATTCATTCAGAGCACTGCAGTAAAGATGACATGGGCTTTATCATAGTGTGGGCAGCTAATTTCTGCCTGTCACATTGTCATAGACTAAACTCCCAACCTCTGACAGTCATCCTCAAAGTCAATGGCATTGTCAGAAGGGAAGCGAGGTAAGACTGAGAATGGTGTAGCATAAGTCCATCTCCACTATTAGAAAAACAACTCAAAGACATGCTCCACTAATGATCAACCACTCAATCAGTGAGTATTCGTTAATTAAAGACCTACTATGTGCCAGCCACCGTGCTAGGCATTGTAGATACAAACAGAAAAAATAAAGTCTCTGCCTTCAAAGAATGTGTGTATACACACAGACATGTATACACACATGTTGTATATATGTCTGCCTATATACATACATACATTGTGTATATATACACACATTCCTTGAAGGCAGAGACTTTGTGTGTCTCTGCACATATATACATATGTGTGTGTGTTTGTATGCCTATACATTTCCATACATATATGTAGGTATACATATATATTTGTGGAAACAACATGTACGATATAAGTTTATGCAAAATAAACAGAAAAATACAATGATAATTTAGGAGTACCATCTTTGCATTTAAAGGAAAACACATATTCATGAAGCAATGTTTGTGATGTATGGCCATCATTTCATGAAAAAGCTTATTATTATTGATGTTATTACAATGACATGTGGTTAAAATACATGGAATTTCCTGTAGTGCTTCATAATTACCAAGTGCTGACTCCCCATCCAGAATATTTATAAAATACTTTAACCGAAGATTACATTTCCATACTATCCATATGGGAAACCCATTCTCTGACAACCCCCGCCCCCAAATGCACACTCTCTGGGGTAAAGCTGACAGTTACCCAGCAGGATCCAGGACTCCTCATTTAGGAGTGAAGCTTATATGACTCCAGTGAGGCACCAGAAGAAACTTTAGATGGGTAGAATGTCATTCCTAACCTCAGAGTTGGACCAGTACATTAAGGTTTAAACCAGAGTAAAGGTTTTGTTGGTGTGACCTCTGGAGGAGGTTCAGATTGGCCTGAGGTACCCTCTCTTCTCTCAATGGCCAAACTTCTGAAACTAGCTTGGGTGGACTAGCTTAATGGGGGTGGCCTTGGATAAGTACTATTTCCAGTGAGACAAAGTTCTTTTTTTTACGTTATAAAACAGAAGAAAGCAAATATAAAATCTGAAGATATGAATTTAGAAAGGAGAGGAAGGAGATTGTCAGTAATTTTTAAACTAGGGTTTGTGAACTTATTTGTTAAAATATTTTGATAACTATATTTCAATATAATTAGTATCCTTTGTAATCCTGTGTAGTTTATTTTGTGCATCTAAAAGCATTCTGAGAAGGGATTTATAGACTCCTGGTCTATAGGGTAAAAGAATGTAGTGTAAAATAGTAGATGATTTTTTTTTCCAGTGCTGTACATAATATTTTATCTACTGACTCTGTGCCTTTGCATAGGCTGTGTCCCCGGCCTGGAATGCTCTCCCTCCTCTCTTCTATCACTTAGAATCCCCAGCTCCCTTCCAGGCTCACTTCAGGAGCTGCCTCCTAACTTAAGGCCTTTGTTACTTCCCCCATTTGTCAGTGCTCTTCCCTCCCTACCCCAAAGACCAGTGCACTCTGTATTGGTGTGCTTTGTATTTCCTTACCAGCATATATGTTGTATGCCTCTACTAAAATAGATTTCCTTCAGAGAAAAAAACTAGAAAAATGCTTAAGATGAAAATCAAGAAATAGAACAGGGGTTAGTCTGCAGGCCACCAAACCTACCAGAAGATACTTAGAGGGAAATGAGTCATAGCATGTGTCCATCAGCTAGTGGGGAGAGATGAAGGAGGGAAGCACCTTTATTACAACCACCCTGAAACCCAGGATTTTCATCTTAATCCTTAGGTTCACTTAGAGTACACAGGAGAAGGTTTAGAAGCAAAAGCTACAAATTCAAAAATTAACACTTAAACTTCAAAGTCTAAGGATAAAGGCTTAAGGCAAAACCAGTAAATTTCCCCAACTCTGGTAACACATTTTTCACATAATTCTGAAAAGTTCCCTATGGTTCCCATGCCCACCCAAGCCTCAGGGTTTTTTAAGAAGCTGACACAATTTCTTGTTAGGAACATAAATTTGTATGGGAAGAAGAATCTGCCTTGTCAAATATACCCATCCTCTCTTGTCCCATTCCCCTAACAAACTTTTCTAACCAAAGAACAATAAATATTGGAGGAATAAGGAGCCTTCTCAGCACCTCATCCCAGGTTGTACAGAACTATCTTGAGGGCACAGTTCCCTTTGAAGTTGCTGGGTGGTTTCCCTAGCAGGAATCGGCTCTGCTGATGATCACAGCAAAGTGAGAACTGGCCCATCTGACTCCATGTCAACTGCTCTTCAGCTTGTTTTCCAACCTAGGTCCTTGCTTAATTTATTTAGTTTATCCCAAAGCTCATGTTGCTTTTCTGATGAAGACACCTTATGAGACTGTGTTGCTATAAATGTGAAAGTATAAGTGCATGACTATAGATCTCGGAATGGGCATGAGGGAGAGTAGTGTGGCCTCAGGAATGAAAGTATTTTCATTCAGTTAATTCTCAATGTAACTGATGAACATGGTGGCCAGTGGTCAGTGGGTTTGAAGCCTAATGATGGTGAAGATGGTAGGGGCCCCTTTCCCTCAGTTTCTCAATTTAGTGGATCTAGAACTGATAAAATTGAGCCTCTAGTGATAATGGTTGTACCCTGTCTACCTCCTTTGTCAGAGAATCTTTATTTCTTTATTCCTATCTTTGCTCATATTCTAACATCTGAACAGATACCAGATTCCACAGACCTCTAGTAAAAGGGATATTCTGCCTAATGATATGCACCTGAAATAGACAGACACATGAAAACAGTAATTAAATAAAGTGTGGGAGGAGCAACTTCATGGTTAGGAAAGGAAATAATGTATAAAATTCCAGGAAAGCTTCATACAACAACCTATTAATATAACTATTTGAGCAATTCAGTAATATAAGCTATAACTGGGAACAAATTTGTTGTAAATTATTTATGTGTGAATGCTAAGTGAGATCAGTCATAGACCTGTCATTAATGAGAGTACATCTATACAGAAGACAGTGAAGTAGAAGTGTTATGTGGTTAATTTGGCTGGTTTAGGCAGCTAACCAGAATAATCCACTGTGAAGTCAAAATTTAGGCTCTACGGTCAGGTTTGTGGGAATCAATATACTGCATTTAAATAGCTTAATATTTCAAGTTTTCCCTAAGAGAGTTCAAAAATCCCTGAATATCTTTAAAGTATACAGGGAGTTAAGTTTCATTTTCCTGGGAGCAGAGGAAGGTAAGTGGCAAATAAGTTTTGGTTTGGTTTTGTTTTTAAAAACAAACAAATTAACAAAACACAATTCCTGCTATAAATCACCCTCCCCACCCAATTCAGTAACTCATAATCTCTTAACAATTTTGTGTTAGGCAAATCATTCCTAAGAATCAAGGGCAATTTTCTAAGATATTGCATATATTCAAGCCATTATAACTTACTATGTAGTTTCAAAAGCTAAATTGAAGTTTACCAAAATTGAACAAAAGTATTTCTCAAGAAGCAAGCTCCTTTGTAACTTGAGTTATTTCTCTGCTTTTAATTCTTCCTTTGAAAAATGTTTCCTCCAAGTAAGCAGTAGTGGAATCATTTGCTTTCTGTTTGTTTGGTTTTTTCCCTTTCACCTTTTCTGGGATACCTTATATTACAGAAGTATAGTAAATCAGAGTTTGCAAAGTACTTTCACAGAGACACAGATAAAATACACATAGTTAAAAGTAAAAGGCAGCAACAGAACCACATGATTTAGCCAGGATCACAAAATGAATCACATAAATCAAAACTCCTAGAAATCATCCATTCCCACTGGGAATATGGACTAAAGTCAGGTCCCATCTTTCACATGCTCCCATCAAACGTGACTAAATAGAAATTTTTCAAAGGCTCTACTCAAAACATTTGCTTGAGAAACTTTCTGAATAGAGACACTGCCTGCTAAAACACATGCAGTGTATGAAAGATCAGGTTTCTCTATCCAGCTGTCCAGAATCCCATTAGTCCCTCTTACTACTGTCCGTCTTTTTCTATAATTAGGATGGCTTAAGGTTTATCTGGGCCTTTTTCAAAACCAGATTTCCTTCCTAGCAGCAGCAGCTGTCACTCACTCTTGCCTTAATGGTATCTGAGGGCTTACTCTCGATTTACATTATGGTGGAGCTCATGTGAGCCTGAAGTGGGGGGATAAGGACATGGAAGGATGCTTTCTGTTCTATTATTTTTTGGAAAGGAGTCTTACCTGAGGATGGACATGTTGATTTACCACCTGATCTGTCTCCAGTAGGCCTTTAGTACACTTCCCTTTCTTCTTCAGTTCTGTCTCTCTTTCTGTGGGAAGTGATTCTGCTGGTGTTGGAAGGGTTTCTGTTCTTTGCTGTGCTTGGGTCGAAATGGCATATTCTCCTCCATGGAATTGGGAATTAAGATGAATAGCTTCTGCCTCTTTGTGAAAACTCTCTCTTGTATCGCCAGGGCGAAGTTCAAGACCCCTGACTTCTCCAGGACCTGGGAGGTTAAGCGTGCCATCTGTTGCGTTTTCTTTCAGGTTGGTGTTCAGCTTCCTGGGTTTCCCTTTAGCCCCTGGTCTCCTCACCCTGACTAATTTCTGTGAGCCCTTCATCCGCGTTAGGTCTCCCTCCACACTTTTCTTTGCTGGGTTCTCCACAGGCTGGTTTGTCACTGGCTTTTCTAACTCATGAGTCTGGGGCATCATCTCTCCAGGTGTCTTATCCATGTTCATCAGACTATCAATGGCAAGAGACTCTCCTGCTTGGTGACTATCTGCATTTTCTCCTTTCATTCCTGGTTGATCACTGCCATTGGCTATAGAAGTGACAGGGAGCTTATATCGCTCTTGGTCTTTCACTGGGGATGTTTCTTCTTGAAGGTGTCCCAAAATAAGAGTCATTCCTGGTTGCAAGGAATACTGACTGTAAATGGGTAAACTGCTCCTTCCAGCTACTTCTTGGAGTTTTGAGTGATGACCACAGAAGCCAATGGTAGTATCCATAGGCACAATGTTATCTGACACCTGACACTGACAAGCCATTTCACTGTGCTCACACCCACCCAGACAACCCTCTCTGAATTTTGTCTCTTCGTCATCTCTTTCTAATAAAAAGACAGGGTCATTCCCTCTGAGGTCCTCTTGCCAGATCACATTAGAGTAATCTGTCATAACATCGGAACATTCCAAATACTCAAGGTCATCATCTGAAAACTCAGTGCAGGTTAGGTTTATCTCTGGGCAGAGTTCAAAATCTGTGTCAGAGTCTTCACTGGAAATCTCTGGGGAGACATTCTGCTTGGTTGTGGAGCTGTTCACTGGGTAAATGGTTTCCTCAGGCAGTGCCATGCTAAAGCTAATATATTTCTGTATTTTAGAGTCTTGATGACTAGCTGGTAAAACTTCATCATTATGACCATAACTGGTCACACAGTCATCAATTAACCTTGATGGTTTGGAATGTACCAGCCCACTGCAACATTTTTCCAGGCTGTCTGCCTCACTCCTGCCTTTAGGGAAAACTAAATTGAATGCATTTTCCTCTGTGTAATTGTGATTAGAGCAATTCTCTTGAGCTTGAATAGTGCTTTTGATACCTGCATCTTTTTCAGGCCTATGAGACACATTGTCATTGTCGGACTGTAACTGTGATAAGCATGAGCCTCTGAATCTGGGGAAAGAAGAACCAGACAGAGTAAAAGTGTCCTTAGTGGCATCTCCTTTCTCCTGGAAAAGTTGCTCTTTCTCATTAATTTGATGTGAATTGTCCTTCTTACACATCTCAGCATCTTCTCTCAGGTGAGGATTGAGTTGTGGGTTCTCTGAAAAACACTCAACTTCAATAAAAGCTGAACAGCAAATCATTCCAAAACAGTTTTGAGCAGAGATCTGATAAACCGCAGCATCATTCTTGGTGCAGCTGAGGTTAAAGAAGAAAAAAAACCAAAAACAACAATGTTGTTTACTACATGGTGGACGGACTATCAGTAGAGTCTCAAAAAACTTTTCACAAAACTACCCCAAATGGAGAAAGTTGGCTGTTTACCTAGGTGAAAAAAAGTATCTCCTTTTCCACAATTTACCTCCTACCAGGGAGAAATGCTATGACATTTTTGGATTATTGGGAATTTGAGAAAGTACCACTTCTGAGCAAGAAATTGCAGCTTACACTCAAATGACTACCATATCCCACCCCACATGACTGAAACAACCTGAACAATAATTGCATTTAAAGTTATGTTTAAAACTGTGGCTCTTGCCAGTAGGTCTGTCTGATTACAATGTCCCTAATCATGGGAAAATGAGTTTTGCTAAGCACCGTTCTCAGCCAGTGGACTGGCCAGTGTTATCAACCATAGTCTTTGAGTGATTCTGGCTGAGAATGCCATCCTCCCTAATAGAACGTTAAGCTTTATTATGCTTGAAGTCTATGGAGCAAAAAACTAAATTGACTCTGGCACTGTATTCAGTTGTTCAAATACGAGCAAATATCACTCGGGATACCTTAGTTTCTTCCCCCTGACCCCATATAATTGCCATTAGAAGGGAGAGGTGGTATAATGTAAAAATCATCAAATACTGAAGTAAAGGGTTTGAGTCCCTGCACCAACACTTCCTAACTGTGTAACATATGGTAAATCATTTAACTTCTCTGAACTTAATGCTGATCATCTGTAATACAATCATAATAATATTTGCATGACCTCTTTCTTGTGGTTATTGTGAGCATCAAATGCAATGGTGTATGCAAGCGTCTTAAGTAAAGAGGCTGTTCAATTTTTGTCTCTGCATCCCAGATCCTGGCACAATGCTTGGTGCACTGGATCATAAATTTACAGCTGAACCTTTGAGACCATTGGTTCTTATTCCTTCATTTTACAGATGAGGAAAATAAGGCTTAGGGAAGTTACATAGTCACATAACTAGGGAGTATATAAGGCAGGATTTGAGCTCTGGGCCTATAGTCAGGAAGATCTGAGTTCAAATCCAGACTCAAACACTTAATAGCTGTGTGACCCCAGACCAGTCACTTAACTTCTCGGTCTGAGTTTCCTCCCCTGTAAAATAGGAATAATAATAGCACCTACCTCCTAGGGTTATTATGAGGATCAAATGAGATAATATTTGTAAAGCACTTTGCAAACTTTAAAGTGCTATATAAATACTAGCTATTATTATCATCACCATCATAAATTATTATAATTCCTGACTGCAGGTTCAGTGCTCTTCTCAATGAAGATATTTAATAAATATTTGCTTATTGACTGACATAGCATTGTCATTATTGACTACTGACTTCCTATGTTGTACTCTCCTGATTCCTTTTTCTATATGACTCTATTTCACAGTTCTGTAGAGCTTTGGTCATACTATTATGACCTGTTAAAGGGGAGACCAATGTTATCTATTCATAATCACAGTATTCTGTGAATGCCTTGAATTTATATAGGACCTGATACTTGGTGACCTTTCACCTACCTATCATTTGATTTCATAATGTTACTAACCTCTGTTTCATACATTTCAGGAATCCACAATCTTTCAGAAATGGAACACCACATGCCTGGTTCCAATTTGCCAGAGAAAGAGAAGCGCTTAAGCAGGCAAGAGTCATTGGGTAAAGGCTCCAAAAATTTGGAGGTAAACACACATTCCACCAATTAAGAAGGAATTTAGGTTAACAGGCTAAGGGAGGCTCAATCCCTCCTTACTGTGAAGTATTCAAATAACAGATTCTTTTAGAGCTCATCCAGTTCAACTTCCTCATTTTATTTATTTAATTTTTAATTTATGGAATAAAACAAGCAACTTTCTCATTTTAAAAGAGAAAACTAAGGCATAAAAACACTAAGTGACTGCCCAAGATCATAGAAGTAGAGTCAGACCTAGAACCTAGACAGCTTGACTCCAGAACTTGGGCTCCTCTTATGCCAAACTGCCTTTTAATTCCTAGCTTATTACGTTTCTAGGAAAATACAATGATTGAAATAGAAATTTTAATGTGGGTAGGAGGGGAATAGTTCTGGTGCATAGAGGTACTTTATGTGCACTGGGTGCCTAAGGGGAAAAGGGAGTACTAGGAAATGGGAGAAAGCTACAGGAAAAAAAGGAAGAGAAAGTTTTCTTGAAGCCTCCATTATTAGTGGAAATAACAACAATAACAGATAATTTATGTAATGCTTTAAGGTTTACAAAGCACTTTTCTAATGTTATCTGATTTTATCCTCACAACAACTTTGGGAGGTGGGTACTATTATTTTCCCCATTTCACAGAGGAAGAAACTGAGACAGACACAGATTAAGTGACTTGACTCAAGTCTCACAGCTAAGTGTTTCAGGCAGGATTTGAATTCCGATCTATCCTAACTCCAGGTCCAGCACTCTAACCATATTATATACTACCTAGTTGCCTCTAGAAAGTACTTGTAGGGCAGAGTACCAGGGCCCTAGTCATACATGACCATTTGTATATGGTATCTATGGGAACTATTTGTTCATCAGAAAATGTAATTAGAACAGTTGACTCATTGACAATGATGCTGACTAAAGACATTAATTAAGATATGTTTGTTTTGTATCCTTACATTTCTCTCTGGCATACAGTAACCATTTAATAAAGGCTTATAGACTGATATATAAAAGCACCAAAAAACCATAAAGTACTGCATAGGTTTAATCTATTTTTGTAATTGTTGTCAATATTAATGATATTAGTAATAATCATAAGGAAATCACTTAACCTCTCAGTGCCCCTGGCAACTCTTTAAGATGTTAAGTTGAAGGGCAGGTAGGTGACGCAGTAGATAGAGGTATGGCCTTGGAGTCAGGAGGACCTGAGTTCAAATCTGGCCTCAGACACTTGACACTTACTAGCTGTGTGACCCTGGGCAAGTCACTTAACCCCGACTGCCTCACCAAAATAACTAACTAACTAACTAAATAAATAAATAATAAAATAAAAAAATAAAAATGTTAAGTTGCACAAACAGGTGCCAATATGTATTGATAGAGAAAGTTTCCTTGCTAATAGTCTGCAACACCAATAAAAATCATGAGCCTGGTCCAAAAGAATAATAATCATAAAAATAATTATTATGAACTTACTCTAGATATCTATATAATGCCTAACTAATATATTAAATACTCAATAAATACTTGTTGACCATTGATCTACATCATATAGTGTATATGCAAAATGTATGGCTCTCCTATCCAGAAGAGGGCAGTGTTATATCCAAATGTACAAATGAACACAAGACCTTTTACCTCCTTACCCCTTTTTTCTGGGATGTTCATTTCTCTAGGGCAAGTATGTGGCACACTGGTTGGAGTGATGCATCCCAAATAAGTTTAAAATCTGAGTTTAAAATCTGGCTTCAGACACTAGATATGTGACCTAAGGCTGTCTGCCTCAGTATTCTTGTCTGTGAAATGGGGATAATAATAGGTTTTTAGGATGAACTGAGATATTTGTAAAGTGCTTCGTAAACCTTAAAGTGCTATATAAATTCTAACTACTAAAATTCCTGGATCACCACATTCCTTCCCCTTTTCATACTCATTCCTAGATGCTCTCTGAAGCACATGCTCATTCACTTATAAACCATCTCCCTGACCCTTTGGATTTCACATCCACAGTATGTGCAATGTACATGTATATTCTTCCTTTTTAGTCTGAGGATGATTGCATGTCTGTAATATATTTCCTCCTACAGGACTCTCAAGCGCACTGGTGACGTGCTGAGATGATTAGTACCCAAAGGAGAGGGAGCTACTAGCAAGGTCAGTAAAAACATTTCACCATGGCCTACAGTTACTTGGAAGCAAATTAGAGTTATCTTCCCAGTTCCCCATGATTTGGCATGAGTGGGTGTGCAGGAAGAGTTGTGTTTGCTCTTTTTCCTGTTTTCTGACATCCTCATAATTTTTAAGGGATATTTTGAAATAGTTGGGAGTGTTTAGAGGGGATGATGGATGGTATTACCCATTTTCAATTCTATTTTTAACAATTTTGCTATTTAAAAACCTTAGGAGTGATCAGGGTCAACTTATGGGAAAATCTTTAGACAAGCTCTTTAAAAGCCATATGGAATGAATGAATGACCAAATGAATGAATGAAAAAGCATTTATTAAGCAATGTATTAAGTGCTAGGAAAATAAATAGAAAAGAGAATCTCAAGGGCAGCTAGGTGGTACAGTGGATAGAACACTGGCCTTGGATTCAGGAGGACCTGAGTTCAAATTTGGCCTTAATTAGCTGTGTGACCCTGGGCAAGTCACTTAACCCCATTGCCTAGCCGGGAAAAAAAATGGAATCTCCTACATTTCTTATAGTAAGATATACAGTGATGAAAACTGGCTGACGGTTTTGAAATACACAATATACTAGTATTACTAGAAACAAACGCTTCAGAATAACTGATAATAATAACAATGATAATAATAGTTAACATTCATATGGCACTTATGATGTGCCAGGCACTGTGCTAAATGCATTACAGTTATTATCTCAGTTGATCCTCACAACAACCCTGGATGGTAGAGGCTACCTATAAGATAAGGAAACTAAGGCAGAGATTAAATGACTTGCCTCACACAGCTTGTAAGTATCTGAAGTTGGATTTGAACTCAGGTCTTCTTGACTCCAGGCCTCCATTGCTATCTAGCTTCCCCAAGATAGATAGATCAGAAATGCAGTCTCAAATTGGTCTAATTTCTAAGAGTTTAACATCAAGGCCTTTATTTACAGTCAGAAGATGTGGGTTCATTAATTCATAGAATTCTGAACTAGGAGGGACCTTAAGGATCATCTCATCTTCAGCAACAGAAGAGGAACCGAAGCCCACTAAGCTTAATTGATTAACACAGGATGGTGAAGCTATTATGTAACAGAGCAGGGGACTGAACCCAGTTCCTCA